ACACTGATTCAGTAAAAGGACTAGGTGTTACAATCCCTGATAATGCATTGCTTTAAATGGAGAAAATCTTGAGGGATGGCTGTTATGAGGAAAAGCAGCCCAGAAACGTTACCACCGGCACACATCATTGTGTGCCTCAACTTTTGGTCTTTTACCCAAGCTAATCTGCCATTTTTTCCTTCCTTGGTTAGGTTTAGGGATTAGAGCTCTGATGTAAATTATCATATTAAAATTTGGGACACATCGTCAGTATTTAACCTTGGATTCATCGGGTGTTTCGGACATTATCACAGGACACCCTCATCCAGGGAGGACCTGCCAGGGTTGATCAGGCACCGGAGTGTCACCGGTTTATGTTAAATTGTTATTTCTCTTCTTCTTTCTTCTGTTTAGTTTTCTACAGTTTATTTTCTTCTATCTATTCACTGCAACTGAGAAGCAATACTTACCTCTTTAACATTTATGGAGCGTCCAAATCTGCACTAACTACTGTTAAAGATCAGAGGACAAAACACAGGCTTGGTTTTTAATTATATTGTATTATAAAGAAAGAAATGCATGTAAATAATAAAGCAAATAATGCCATAATGAATATATATATACAGTACTATACAAAATTATTAGGCACCCTTCACTTCTTTTATATTTTGCTTGGAAAATTAAATATAGTGATTTCTCGAAATATTTGCAACACACTTAAAACACATATCCATGAAAAGACATAAAGTAAAGGTAATAACATTTTTATGAATTTGAAAGTCAATATTTGGTACAAGCACCTTTACTCTGAAGAGGACAATCAATTCAATTCAGTTCTTTTAAAAAAAAAAATATTTACCCTACATCATGTATTGAAAATAAATTGACCCTGATTCGCAACACATAAAATGCAACCAAATAAAACAATCTTGTAATATCCCCCAATATTGCTATAGGGTTGACATTTTTAAATTGAAGGGTTAATAATGATGGGAACATTAACTCAAAACTGTAGCCTAGATAGACACAGATTACTTTGCTGCAGTCAGTGATAATTGTTGCTTTTTATCAGGCCTCTCTGTGCGGGCATCAGACCAGACTACTGTACATCATGAACAATATGTAATCACCCCTCACCCTCCACTGACCCCAGCACCCACCTCCGCCCCCACAGGCTGGTCCCACTGGATGAGTAGAGGACTGAATTTCTTCCCCAGCACACAGCTGAATACACATTTATGCCCAATTACTGAGTTTAGATATGGATTATCTTTTTTTAAAATTAGAATTGATTCTAAGACAAGAATCCTGGGATTTGGAAACGTCAATATTTCAGTATCAATCCACCCAGCACAGCCAGATTGCAAATAGACAAGCAGACATTTATATTATATCACATTGTTAGTGAGGGCATGTGACAAATAACTTGTCCTAGATGGATGTAAAAAATAAATAATAATAATTAAAAAAAAACAGGGCCCCTTTTAATGAACAGTGAGCATGTTTGAGGCTGTGATTGAGCTGTCTGGTGTGAGTGAAATCTGCAGATCAGTCCACACTTTATTCAAGACTGTCAAAACTGATCTGAGGTGGAAAAAATCAGAGATTATTTCACCTCATGGGAGCCTGTTAAGAAAAAAAAAGGTGTCTCGTGGTACGAGATGGAAGAAAAAAGCCTTGTATTGTTGAGATTCTTTTCAGTCTGTGTGTGTTCTCGTGTAGAGGCGGTGGTCCAGCCAGGTCTTATGACACCGCTGGGATTCAAGCTGAGCAACATGCTGAGCCTCATCAGAATGTGTGGTGGTGTCGGCGTGGGCGTGTAGAGGCCGGTTAAACCGCAGCTCACCGACAGCCGTCTCTGTTCCTCACTCAGTTTCTGTTTACTAGTATTCCTGTTTTCTCTGCCTCTCCTGTCTTCCCTCAACCTTCACGTCAGTACGCTTCAGTTTATTTAGCCTTTATTTAATCAAATAGACAAATTTAAATATTTTTTTCTGAGACCATAGAGTAAAACTGCAGCAATTAACTTGACAGAGACAGTACACGGTATCAATTAGTCGAGCTACGGCTACATGACTGAAAAGCATGAAAAAATATTTTACACAAAGCAAATTGGGAACAGTGAAAGATGGTGTTGCTGTGACTCGCTGAGAGGACAATGTAACTTCAAAGTGCTTTGTACCGTTTTCGGTTTGGTAAATAATGGTAGTACTAAAAACTGTTTTTGTACGACACCATAGGCTGTGACAAACACCCAGAAAAAATGATTTGCTTGCGGCATCAAAACCAGTGACAGCAGTAGATTCAAAGCTTTCCAGCTCTGTAGTTAAAATCAAATGTTAAACCCTCTGGAAATTTAGATTGAAATAGTAAAAATGCATTTGTGATCTCACAGTTCAGAGTCTCGTTAATCAGCACAGAAATCAAAGTGAGGGGAAAAAAGTAAAGAAATATTGAGAAAACCTAGTTTAAAATCGGCTTATTTTACTGATTTAAAGTGCCTTTTTTACATATCATAGCAACACTGGATCACCTTAAATAGACACTCACCAGCCACTTTGTTGGGTACACAGATTCAACTGCTTGTTAATGCGAATATCTTATCTGCCATAACCTGCTGAAGATCAGAAATGGAGAGCAAGGTGATTGAAGCTGGTCTGAATATTTTAGAAAAAGTTGGTCTGCTGGGATTTTCCCACACAACCATCTCTAGTGTTCAAAGGGAAGGGTTTGAATAGAGAAAATATTCAGTGAGCTGCAGTTACTTTGGTGAAAAAGCCTTATTGATACCAGAGGTCAGAGGAGAATGCATTCTCAAATAACCACTAGTTGCAACCAAGGTTTGCAGAAGAGCATCTCTCAATGCTAAATGCATCGTAACTTGAAGCAGATGGGCTACAGCAGCAGAAGACCACACCGAGTGCCACTCCTGTCAGCTGAGAACAAAAAACTGAGGCTACAATTCAGGCTCACCAAAATTAGACAATAAAAGATTGGAATAACCTTATTTGTCATGACGTTTATTGATTTCTGCATCAGCAGGTGGACGGTAGGGTTAGAATTAGGCTAAAACAACACGAAAGCCTGCCCGAGTACTGCTGCTGATCATGTTGATCCCTTTATGACTGCAATGCACAATCTTCTGATAGTTCAAAAATCTCAAATCATCTCAAGCTGGTTTCTTGAACGTGACAGTGAGTTCACTGCACTGAAATACCCTCCACAGTCACCAGATATGAATCCAGCAGAGCACCTTTAGGTTGGAACAGAAGATTCACATAATTCATGTCAGTTGAGTTTCTAGCACCTCGTTGAATTCATACCACAAAGAATTATGGCAGGTCTGAAGAAAAACCTTGGTACCAGCAAGGTGCAACTCGCAAAGAGACCAGGAAGTGTAATTTATTAATGGCACGTTTACATTCTACCTCATTTCCAACTTCATGTTCGGGACTCAGGAGGAGGGGAGAGAAGGCGCAGCTGCAATACAGATAACCTTGCATAATGTATACTTTTCTGGGTAAAACTATTTAATTGGTCTTTGGTTAAATGAGTATGCCAAGAGTGGGAGTTTTTTCTTTTTTTTAACGATCGTCCACAAAACATGAATTCCCTGCTGATTTTCTATGTAGAAAATAGAAATAAAAATAAAAGACTTGGGTCAAGTAGAGGTAAAAAATGTAAACAAAAGGGCAACATGTTGTCAAACTTTAATGATTAATGTGCCATCAGAGACAGCACAATCAATAACAGTGGGGCAAGGAAAGAAAAAAGAAATGTACAGTTTGGTGACAAAAAATATATCCGTATAAAATGTTTTAAGCTTTTTTGCTATCAGCTCAAATGCAACTTGACACTGCTTTTTAGTTGATGTATTTTAAATGTGTATTAAAGCAAATTTTGATGACTATCATGTACAGACGACCTGGATTATATAGATGGAAGGCATCTGAGCTTACACTTGCTTGAAGTGCGATCAGTACACTGTGTGAGCTGACAGAGAAGGTGGTTTATTGAAAGCTTAATACATCCAGCTGGTTGCCTGATTTATTTATTTTTGAAGTTATGATGAATAAAACTGTGATATTGGGAAACTCTGTCACGTATTAACTGTTTGAAATGTGAAAAAGTAGGTTTTGTTTTGTTTCTTATTGTGCTCATTACTTAAGAAAACCATCCTGCAGTGTTAAAATGAAGGTCATCTTGTTTATCTTCACCAGTGTTTTCTGTTTTCCTAACTGAAAGAAAGAATTTGACTCCTCAGTAGAAGAGTACAGCCACAGAGATGTTGCTCTAGTTGCAAGCTTTTGGATTTGCTTAGAGCACTTAAATAGAAGCTATTTGGAGTCCAGAAGCAACGGCTAAAATACAAGAGGTGTTCCATTTAGCTGCGTCAATTAGACTTATGGTGTTACTGCCATGTTCCTGTACGTGAACACAAAGAAACATTCAATATTCATTTGGAGCACGGCTAAACTGCATCACCTGGAAGGCTGGTAATCTTCTTCAAGCCCTCGAAGCCCACTCATCGCTTCATGTAGGATGTTCATGGTTTATTTTATCCAGAAAAAAAGGGATGGCAATTTCCAAAATTACACCTCTATGCTAAACAGAATATCAAACCACAAATGTATCCACTGTTGGCCTCTTGGTGCGCACCAGCAGTTCTGGTCATCCACTCTCCTGATGATGGGCACGTTTTATCATACTATCAACATGGATAGATCTAAAGATTATAGTGTTAGTGCTAGTTGGCACAGAAAGTGCACTACTTTTCAGCTGATCACGAACATTGTTTACAGTAAGCATCATTTTTCAGGCTTTTGTCAGGGGATGTAAAACATGTTTTATAAGGACTTTAATGTCAACAGTAGAGTTTATTAATAATATTTAAAGTAGTTCCCTGATAAAAACTATAAATTTTAACTGCATTTTATTCGCAGTTGTCCTGTTACCTTTATTTTACAGCAGCTTCATACCTTTGACACTGTGTAAAGAATTCTTTCTTCCCATCTCTGCAGATGTGATTCACACAGTGGGGCCGATTGCACAAGGCGGAGTTGGAGAGGCGGAGGAGAACGCGCTAAGATCGTGCTACAGAAACAGCCTCGAGACGGCGACCGAAAATGGTGCTCGTTCTGTGGTGAGAATGAATTTGAGACAGCAATTTGAACTGATGCTGAAAACGGGGTAACACAGGAGGATTGAGAGGTCAGGTTTAAAGCAAAAGAAGGTAAAGAAAAAGAAGTACTGAAGACTGTGACACACGAATAAAGAAGAAATCAAAAGAAGCGAATACAAAAGAAGCTTTGGTAGGAAGAAAAAAGGGACGGGTGAAGCAGTCATGACTGTATGACAGGGTGCTATAGTTAAAAAAGAAACCCAAGTTAAACCCAAGCCAGAAAAAATGATCACTTTGGATGTTTTCAAAGAATACAGTGTTCAAACTGAGATGGATGGAGGAAGGGGAAAAGAGGTAGGAGTGTGAGTTGTAAGAAGGTAGCATGAAACACACCAGGCAGGAGGTTTCACAGAGAACGAAGTGTTAAAGCCAAAGAAAAAGCACCAAAGAAACATGAAAACAAAGTCAGAGGTGCAATCGAAGAAAACAGGAGCATGGTAGCAGCGTGAAGATTAATGCAGAACATTAGTAGCTTTGCTAGTAAAGAACAGGATTTAAAACAGACTTAAATGCATCAGTTGCAGGATTTTTTTTTAACCGAAGCTTTCATAGCAACAGCAATTTTCACAAAACTTCAAATTATTTGTTTATTGTAGGTGTCAGAGAACCTGTGAGGCATAGTTGCCTTCACCCTGAGTCTTAAGCTGTGCAGTCAGGTTAAATGAACAGATCTGGAGACCTGGGAAGCATCCAGACATCTGCTTGTACTGACATATTTGACAACAGGTTGGAAATCTGCCAGATTTGAAGTTTACTGGCTGCTTGACTCAAAGGAGAACCAGTGGGGTTGCACAGACTTGGCAAACACGGACCTCACTGACTAACAGTTATAATCCTTTTGATTTTTAATATGTATTTATTTCTGTTAATAGCTGCATTTACCTTCTGCTGTGGTCTCTTCTCATTGCTTTTTCATTGCTGGTGAGTCTGCCAGCAATGTAAGCAAAATCACCTACAGTGCAGGAAATAATGCATGACTTAAATGTAACTGTTGGCTCTGCTGCAACTTTATACTAAAGTATACGTCGACATTGTTCCAGTCTGTCTTAAAAACATCCGACTGCTTATGCTTGTCTGCTTGTCCAATTTAAGAAAAAAAAAGTTTTTGGTCATGGCAGTTGTCCTTCGGTCCATAGCGGCTGCAAAGACATGCCTCTTTTAATCAGATGCAATCTGAGCACTGCGGAGACAAAATCCCCAGTTGTCTTTGTGCTGTGAAAAAATGCTTTCCAAGCTAATCTGAAGCGATTAATTGGGCGACTTAGAGAAACTAAATCCAAGGTTACATACTTTCAGTACCAAATTACCTCTTTTACCTTGCCGAGATGCAAAAGAGGGAATGTGGTGCTAAATAGACTTTAAACAATTCCCTCGCTCACATTCGCTGTGTCGGGAACCTGAAATAATGAATCTGCTGCAGATTTTTTTGCAGCTACTGTTAATAATAAGAACAAATAAACAGTGTGGACGGGTGAGGACTTTAATATATACCCAGAATAGAGAGAGTTGACAGGAGAGAGAGATGGAATAAAATGATGATTCAAACTGGAAATGTCATGGTTCATAGCCCACGTGTCAACTCACAAGAGGATGGTTTTTAAGACAACACAGACAACACAGTTAAAGGCATTCAGCTGCCAGAACACAGCAACACTTACTGTGTAAAAAGCAGTGTGAGCTCTTAGAAGAAGGTGACAACTCTGTTTACCTGTTAACTTTTACCTGTTTGTCCTGTTGTTTGGGAAGGATCCCCACTCAATCACAGCATTGGTGGGGGAAAAAAGCCCATTTAGTGTTGTATTAAACTAATATGACACAATTACAAGCCCACAATCTGTCTAGCACTGCAGCAAGTCTTCTATTCAAAGCATCATTAAAAAGTAGCTGTTGCAAAAATGCACCAATTCCACACATAATACACAATACACACACACAATAAGTTTTTTAACTTCTTTTCCTAAAGTATAATAGCTTACGGTGTAAAGTGATTGTTTCCTCGGTGGCTGTCTGTATACCCACCATCGTAATTACTGTAATGATGTCTGATTAGTGTTGCTAGCACGGCCGAAGCCGACGGAAGAATTCTTCCCTGCTCGGCCTCGTCAGCAAAGGATGATCAACAGTTTGGTCTTTAAATAGATGTGAAAGTCAGAGGCTGAAGAAAGGCTGCCATAAAAAACAATCAAGAGAAAGACTCCATCGGGATCCAGCAGAGAGTGTGAGTTCTGTGCAGTGCTACGTGTGTGTACGTGTATGGCTGCCTTTGTGAGGACCAGTTTGTTGTAGACCTTGAAAGTCAGGAGATTTGGGGAAAGTTGCTTTTTGACACATCGTCAAAGGTTTAGACCCGGATTTAAGCTTCAGGTTTAGCATCAGGTTTGAGTCATGTTAAGGGTTGCTTCTAGGCCTTTGGTTTATGCTAGTTAAGGTTAACTAGAGAGGATAGGCCATGCATTATGTCACCGAGTGTCCTCAGAAGGATAGACATACAGAGAGTGTGTGTGATGATGATGAGCTCTTCAGAAAGTTATCAGATCTTTTAAAATTTTCCCCATTTTGATGTGTTTCATGCTCTTCTTCAGTTCATGTTCTCTCATCAGTCTGCACACAGTACTCCACAATGTCAAAGCAAGGTTGTAGAGTGTGTGTATGTTTTTAATTAAAAGCCTTTATATTGATACACGCAATTAAGCATTCCACATCAGTGATCCTTGAAATGCCTACAGCATGATCTGTCTTTTTGAAGTCATTGGACAAAATCAGGAAATATATACACATACCAGTTAAAATAAAGTTTCCAAAGATCTGCGAGATGGTTTTTTGTGTTTTTTGTCTTTCAAATTTTCACTTTTTGATGTAGTTTTTGTGCTAAAGCACTGTCAGGGTGCATTTGGTTGAATTTGGTTGAAAATCAAAAGAAATCTGGAACCACCAACACTCATCCTGTCAAAATCAGGAATAGGGGAACAAGGCATTGCGTGAACAGGTAACCAATAATTCAAAAGTCATGATAATTAGGATCCAGAGTTCCTTTATAGAGATTAGATGTGTCTAAAAGAAGGGCAGCCTTTGGTGATGCGTTCTAGCTGTCAGGCCTTTATGGTGGACAGACTGCTTTGTCAGACACCTGACTCTTATACATCTGGCCTGATGAAATAAAGATTGAACTCTTAGGCCACAATTCCCCACGCTGACACTGAGCATCGCCTAATTAATACCATTCCTACAGTCAAACACAGTAATGGCAGCAGAAGATGGATGCAAAAAACAC